CTGTAGGATTAAGAAAAAAGTACAAAGAGTCCCCACATACCCTGGACCCAGGTTTTCCTGTGATGAATGACTCACATTGCCATGGTACATTTCTTACCATTAATGAACCAGCATTGACACATGTAATCATCTGACATCCGTACCTCATTCGTGGTTCCTTTCTGTTCACCTCATGTCCCTTGTCTGCTTCTATGTGGAGCCTGTGTAGGATTCCACACTACGTTTAGACTGGATGTGTGTTAGGTTTCTTTCTGTCCTGACAGTTTCTCAGACACCCTTCCGTAGATGACCTTACCAGCTGTCAAGAGTGCTGCTGACACCTTTTGTAGACTATCCCTGAGTTGGGATCTGCCTGATGCTGGACTCATGAATGGACTGAAGTTAAGTGCCTAAGAAGGAACCATAGACTTGACCAGCATCCCTGTCGCACCATAAAGTACTATCAACGTGNATGTCCTGCCCTCAAGACCCACTGTCCAGCACACACATTTCTGCTGTTCTTTACTCCCACTGGGGCCTCTTCTCCACCCATCACAAGTTCCATGACTCTATTCCATACAAAGTGTCACCAAATCCCTCTCTCCAGTTCTCAGTATTGTCACCAGCCTGAACTAGGATACAGCCTCTTCTCAGGCATGACTGTGATAAGGGCCAGATCCCGAGGACACAGCCAGGAACAAGTTCCCTCTTTTATATCAGTGCTGGGACATGTCTCTTCACATTTGCACTTCTACAGATGGAGAACTGGGCAATGGATCAATTAGAGCCTCCTCCAGGACCCCACATCTACTTAGAGGTACAGCAGGACCCATGTAAGAGAGGCAGTGGAGTCCCTGACTCTGTGCATGTCCCTCCACTCCTCATCCAAAGACAGTCTCCAGCGGATGACACCACAGCCCCGATTGACAGCCTCGCAGCAGAGCACGAGAGAACTTGTCCATTTCCTTGCAGGCTTGAGCACTGCACCCCTAACCCACCCAGAGTCACAGGAGTAGAGTGCAGCTCAGCCAGGGCTGATTCCCAAACATGAGGACAGACTCAGCAGCTCCACACACCACCCAGGACTGGTTCACCAGGAACTGGTGGCAGGCACCCCACCTCAGCCTCTCAAACCCCAGGACACATGCAAATGATCCTGGGCGCTGACAGAACAAAAAACCCTCCAGAGGCTGGGGCAGTGTGGTGGTCTTCACCCTGCAGGCACCATGCAGACGCTGGGGTTCCTTCTATGCCTGATGGCAGCTCCCCTTGGTGAGGGTCTCTGGGGGGCTGCAGCTCTTTACGGGGGTCTGAGTGTACGATGGAATAAACAGTCTGACCATGACTCTCTTTGTCCCCAGGTGTCTTGTCTGAACTGACATTGAGGGAGTCGGGCCCAGGACTGGTGAAGCCCTCGCAGACACTGCCCCTCACCTGCACCGTCTCTGGGGGCTCTGTCACCAGCAGTTACTTCTGGAATTGGATCTGCCAGCGTCCTGGGAAAGCGCTGGAGTGGATGGGGTACTGGAGCGGGGGCACGTACTACAACTCGGGTTTCCAGGGCCGCATTTCCATCACCGCCGACACATCCAACAACCAGTTCTCCCTGCAGCTGAGCTCTGTGACCGCCGACGACACAGCCATGTATTACTGTGCAAGAGACACAGTGAGGGGAAGTCAGCGTGAGCCCAGACACGAACCTCCCTGCAGGGCTCACAGACCACCAGGGGGCGCTCAGGACCACC